GGAACTACAGGCGTGCGCTACCACGCCCGGCTAATTTTTTTATTTATTGTAGAGATGCGGTCTCGCCAAGTTGCCCAGGCGGGTTTCGAGCCCATGGGCTCAGGCAATCCACTTACCTCAGCCTCCCAAAGCATGGGATTACAGGCTGAGCCACCGAGCCCAGCTAAAACTGTGATTCTTAATTGTGTTGTTCTGTGTCTTAGGCTATAGTTCAATGAAAAAGAAATTGCAGCTGGGTGCAGTGGCTCACACCTATAATCCCAGCACTTTGGGAGGCTGAGGTGAGAGAATTGCCTGAACCCGTGGGTTTGAGACCAGCCTGGGCAACTTGGCGAGATCTCATCTCTACAATACATTAAAAAAAAAAAAATTGCCAGGTATAGTGGTGTGTGCCTGTAGTTCCGGTTACTTGGAAGGCTGAGACAGAAGGATCACCTGAACCCCAGCAGGTCAAGGCTGTGATGGCCGAGAGCGTGCCACTGCCCTCCAGCCTGGGTGACAGAGTGAGACTCCAACTCAAAAAAAAAAAAGAAAGAAAATACTTTGGCCGGGCTCGGTGGCTCAGCCTGTAATCCCGCGCCTTTGGGAGGCTGAGGTGAGTGGATTGCCTGAGCCCGCGGGTTCGAGACCCGCCTGGGCAGCGAGACCTCATCTCTACAATAAATCAAAAAATCAGCCGGGCGTGGTAGCGCACGCCTGTAATTCCGGCTACTCGGAAGGCTGAGGCGGAAGGATCGCCGGAGCCCAGCAGGTCGAGGCCGCGGTGGCCGGGAGCGGCCACTGCACTCCAGTCTGGGCGACAGAGTGAGACTCCAACTCAAAAAACAAACAAACAAAAAAGAAAATACTTTGAGTGTGGGGTTTAAGTGGCACAGACAGATTGTCATACTCTTTCCTATTATCAATGTTGTCATAGACAAATCAGTTCTCAAGGTCTTTCCTAAGCACCCTGATTCTCAAGCTTTAGAGAACCAGAACCCCAGGGTGGAGAGGCAGATGGAGGCAGGTGGGTGGGAACGGTAGGGGGCGGGGAGGATGCCTGTGTGGTAGACTGAGCCTTTGGAACCAGAGAGAAGAGATGCGGAGTGCTGGATCAAGGGCTAAGAGACTATACGTATTGCAGAGCCATCAGGAACTTTCCTTTGGCCACCTGGGGCAGGAGCTCCCAGACCTGCACCTCAAGGTGTGAGAGAACAGGCCCAGGGTCTGCAGGCCTGGGCATGAGGGACTGTGTGGTGCTGGATCCCCCTACAAGCCACAGATCTCTGTTAGAAGAGGGTCCGAGGTTGCTCCAGGTCCTGACAGGTTGGTGGGGGAGCATGACTTCAGCTCACAGAATAGGGGGTGGTGGGGTTGTGGAGGGGAGAAGAGCAGAGTCACAGACTCAGGCTGGCTGTGTGGTGTGTTGGGGAGGGCTATGGGCAGCATGTCTTTATTTCTACATGCCCCTTTGGGCGTGGAAATGAGAGGTGTGTAGACCCAGCCACAGGCATTCCCTGCCCTTGGGGTCCTCCATCTCACACACACACACACACACACACCCCAACACACACACACACACACACACACACACACACACACACCAACACACACCAACAGCCCAGCACCAAGTCACAGTGCAACTTTATTCAGCCACAGAATGCTGAGTCTTACCCGCCCTTGCCACCCCACTGCCGTTTGTCCATGGTCTGTGTCTCAGGCTCAGCCTATGAAGGGCTCCAAGGTCCCAAGGAAGTGGTGGCCCCCAGGGTCACGCCGGGCCAGGGGGCCTGGGGCCCACAATCCACCAGCCAGGCTCAGCTGCAACCCCCCACGCCCTTGATGAGATTGGCAGCCTCAGGGATCTGGCGGAAGAGGTTTCGGAGGGTGTCTAGCTCCTGGGTGAGCTGCTCTACGCGGCTGCGGAGGCGCTCGTTCTCTGCCATGTACTCCAGCACCTTCTGCTGTGTCTCCAGAATGCGCCTCTTGGCCTTGTCCCGGCTCTTGCGAACGGCAATGTTGTTGCGCTCCCGCCTCAGCCGGTACTCCAGGCTGTCTTTGTTGACTGCCTTCTTGCCCTTGTGCAAGGGGCCAGCTGGAGAGGGTGCCTTGAGAAGGGGGCTGCAGGGGGACACGGCAGTGGCTAGAGGGGCCTGGAGGGAAAGGCACAGAGAGAGTGAGGGCTGGCCAGGAGGCAGAGTGGAGATGGGGCAAGAATCCCAGCAGCTAAGAATCCCACACTTGAGGCACGGAGGGAATGAGGACTCAGAGCCAGCTCCTATCTTCAGATCAAACCATCATTGCTCTGCCTCTGGGAGAGTAATAGCCTGGATCAGAAGACCAGAACTTCCTTTCTTCTTCTCACACTCTCTGAGGAGACTTTCCCTCAATCTGTCTCGAGTCTCCTGTTCTACCATCAGTGGGCATTTTCTCTTCTAGAAGCAGACTTTCCCTCAATCTGTCTCGAGTCTCCTGTTCTACCATCAGTGGGCATTTTCTCTTCTAGAAGCAGACTTTCCCTCAATCTGTCTCGAGTCTCCTGTTCTACCATCAGTGGGCATTTTCTCTTC